AGAAAAGTAAAAAATAATATAAAAGATGATAATAGAGTTGTATTATATAAAAGAAAAAGAAGCAAGAAAGAAATGCTTTTCTTCTAAATTATCATGAACTTCTAAGCACAACTGCAACAACAACTCTAAGTATAATACAATAATAACTTCAGATTCAATAGCAATAATAACTTTAGACCCAATAGCAATAACAACTTTAGGTCTAACAGTAACAACTACAAGCTCAACAGCAATAACAACTATAGGCTCAATAATAACAACTACTACAGTTTTAATAGTAATAACAACTATTAGACAATTGCTAACCAACTAGTCAAATTATCAACACTAATAACTAGCTTAATAAGACCAATATTACTTATAAAAAAGGCTAAAAAACAAGTAAATTATCATCATTAGAAGAGTAATAAAAATTAGAAAACTAGCAAATATATAGAACTGAAGAAGATAAAGATAAAGATAAAGGTAAAGGTAAAGATAAGAATAAGAATGAAAGTAAAAGTAAAAGTGAGGTTGCAAGTAGAAGTAAGGTTGCAGGTAAAAAAAGAAAAAAAGAAAACAAAAAAAAATGATAACAAAAAGAAAACAAAAAAAAGATCAAAAACAGAATAATAAATTAAATATTTTTTATATTTTATTATTTTTTAATTATCAGCATATATAAAAATAAAATTTTTAAAATATCAGTATATATAAAACTAAAATTAGCAAATTATTAGCTTATAATATATTAAAATAGTAATAAATTGTTTAATAAAATTGTAGTTATTAAACTGATATATTTAAATATAATAAAATAGTATATTATATTAAACAAATATACTCTAAATCTTAAAGACAAGATTACTAGTTAATTAGGCAATATTCACTAATATATTAAATTATATATATAATATTAATAAAATATAACAATAATAAAATATATATATCATTCAAAATAATAAAGATGATATAAGAAAAATAATTTATTTTCAAAATATTAAACAATATCTTAAAATTATCAGCCAATATTGTTTTTATAATAATTAATAAATCTATAATATCATTTTAAAAAAAATTAATAAGATATTTAAAAAATGAATTAATCAGCTAAAAATATACAATATATTAAATAATATATTAGTATTATATCGTATATAATTATAAAAATTTTTTATTAAATAGCTAAAAGAATATTAGCTTATAATTTATCTAATTATTAAATTATTATTAAAATATTTTATAATTATCAACATATTATCTTCTTAATTATTTACTAATATTCCTTTCAATATTTGAATATTTATTTTTGCTTTAAACTAAAATATAATATATTTTTTAAAAACTTCAATCTATTAGCTTTTTTTATATATAATTAATTTGTTATAATTTAATAGTTTATTAGCTTACTATTATCTTATTTGATTATTTGCAGATATTGAAATAATATTTTTGATTTTAACTTGTACAACTAAGTAATTTGTTATTAACTAATTTAATTATGATTAATTATTAGCTATTAACTAATTGCTAACTAACTATATTTCAAAACTATTTAATTATTTTTTTTTTTATAATTAAATATATCTATACTACATGTATCTAAAATTTAGTTGCCTATTTGAATTATTACTTTTAGCAGATTTCAAAACTACTTAATTATCTTTTTTTTATTATTAAAGATCTACAATTAGAATTGTTACTTTTAGCAAGTTTTAAAACTACTTAAATATCTCTTTTTTTTATCTTTAATTATACTTATAACAGAAGTTAAAAGGGCTGTGCTATTCACAAAGCCTTAAACTTAGCACTAGAAGCAATAACTCTAGTAGTGATTATAGCATACATATCTGTAATAAGCATCTAAAAGCAAAAACATATTAATATTATGTATAAAAAAAATAAATTAAAAAAATAAATTAAAAAAAAAATAAATTAAAAAATAATTATTTATTAAAAAAATATAATTAATTAAAAAAATATAATGATATTTAGTAAGTTTTAAAACTACTTAAATACCTCTTTTCTTATCTTTGATTATACTTATAACAGAAGTCAAAAGAGCTGTGCTATTCACAAAGCCTTAAACTTAGCACTAGAAGCAATAACTCTAGTAGTGATTATAGTATACATATCTTTAATAAGTATCTAAAAGCAAAAACATATTAATATTACTATATAAAAAAAATAAATTAAAAAAATAAATTAAAAAAAATAATAAATTAAAAAATAATTATTTATTAAAAAAAATAATTTAAAAAAAAATATAATAAATTAAAAAAATAATAATGATAAATTAAAAAATTAAAAAAAAAAATTAAAAAAATATAATAAATTAAAAAAAATAATAATGATAAATTAAAAAAATTAAAAAAAAAATAAATTAAAAAAAAATAAATTAAAAAAAAATAAATTAAAAAAAATATAATAAATTAAAAAAATAATAGTGATAAATTAAAAAGAGTTTAACTAATTGTAACCGCGGTGATTATCACCGGTATTTAATTAGCCAATAATGATAAAACAAAAAAAAGATTTCTTTCATTTACTTTAGGGTTAGGGCGAGGCTTGGGATTTTATCTAGGCATTAGATGTATGCAAAATTTAGCAAGGAATTTTTTTTGTTAGAACGTCGAAGGTGGTTTCATAAGCGAATTCTTGATATATTGGCATTTTTTAAAAAAAATCTTTATTTTTGTTACACGAATTTATTTGCACGTTACACCTGATCCTGCAAATTTATTGGCTAATAACACACACCGGTGATGATCACCGCGGTTATAGTTAGCAAAATTCAATTAAAAAAATTAAAAAAAAAAATTAAAAAAAAAAAATTAAAAAAAGTATAATAAATTAAAAAAAAATAATAATGATAAATTAAAAAAATTAAAAAAAAAATTAAAAAAAAAAAATAAATTAAAAAAAAATATAATAAATTAAAAAAATAATAACGATAAATTAAGAATTTTATATTTACTAGATTAATAAAGCAAAGAATTTGATAAATACTAATACGTACGTAGTAATAATTGATAAAGTTTCCAAAATTAGTTAGATTTCTATTATTAGATTATGATTTAAACCCCGCTACTTTAAGATCGACAGAAATCAAGAAACTTGAAAATCTCAAAATATTTAATAATGAATATCTTTTGATCTACTAAACCAATTTGGATGAAATAGCTACTAAAATGTTTGTCTCAATAAGCTAATTCGAACAAATACAAAATCGATAAAATCCAATCACAGGACCTGAAGTCGTTAACGATTTGTGTTACTACAGATGTTTAAACCAAACTAACATCTGTAGTAACACAAATCGTTAACGATCTCAGGATCCTGTGATTGGATTTTAGCGATTTTGTATTCGTTAAAATCAGCTCATCAAGATGAACATTTTAGTAAGTTTTCATCCAAATTGGTTAAGTAGATCAAAGATATTCGCTATTGAATATTTTGGAATTTTAAATAATAAATTTAAAATATTATATATGTAAATATGAATATTAGCCAATTAGATTTTATAATCTATATTTATTTAAAAACCAGTGATTATAAGGAGGTTTATTATTAATAAAATTAATTAAAAAAAGTTAAATATTATGGTAATAGTGATTATAAGCAATTTGTGATTATAAAGAGATTTATTTACGTTTCATGATTTCACGCTTATATAGAGGTGTGACTATATAGAGTGTGATTATAGAGAGGTCTGACTGTTACTACGTAACTAAATTGATTTGTTAAAGTTCTTCAATCGCCAAAGTTTATCAATCGTCAGGGTTTCGTCAATCATCAATCGTCAATCGTCAGGGGTTTCGTCAATCGTTAAGGGTTTCGTCAGGCGAAACCCTTTCGTCATCGTAAAAATAGTTGCGTCAGGCATCATTAAAATTGGCGAATAACAAACAGTATGTACTGCACTTGTAAAAATTAAAAATTTTCTTAAGTAAAATATGCACGATAAAAAAAGACAATATGTGTATACAACATTATATTTCTCGTCATCTCTGAGTATATTTATATTCAGTAAGTACGATGACTAATTTTTGTGCATTTACCAATACGGTAATACTTCTAAACTTTAATTTAAAAACTGGATTAACTAATTAAATTCAACAACTCATAAAAAATTTCTATACTTCGCTGTCAACTTCCCTACTTACCCAAAAATAATTTAGCAGCTTAACGATAACCAAATTTATTAAGCGAATGGTGGGGACTCTGTAGTGGTGTATCAGTGCAGGGACCTAAATGAGTGAGGAAAAATTTATACTTAATTAAATGACGCTATAGACTTCAGAAGATTTAGTGAACCTTTTATTATTTCTTTACTAGTTGTGAAAGAAGTAATTACATTAAGAATTAAGAATCATGGCAAGAGCAAAAAGAGCTAAAGAACCTATTACTAATGTCATTCCTCGTTTATTAAATAATAAATAATAATAATAATAATAATAATAATAATAATAATAATAATAATAATAATAATAATAGATAGAAAATTCTATATAAACTTGATACGTAGTATATAAATTTAAAACAATAAAATTTATTTTTATCAATTTTTAGAAAATCCTTAAGTAAAAAAACCATAGATATGAATTAATGTTATGTCATGTGTCATGTGCTCCAAAATGCTAATATTACAAATCCTAATTTACTACCTAACAAAAATAGGAGATAAAAAATCATGTATATAATTACTATGTATTAAGCCAAGTCGGAGAAAATATTAATATGTTAAAAAATTAATAAAATACAAAATATAAACACCCTATAAAATAAATATATTAGTCGAAAAAATTTAGTGTAAAAAAATTTTGTCAAAAAGTTGATGGGATTTTTTTTTTTTTATCAATTAATATTGATAAAGTTACAGTATAATAAGGGAATATAATAATAAAGCTATAAATACATGATCTGGTTTTAATTCTGATGCACATGAAAAATTCATTAAAAATAAGGCTCAAAACACAACTCTGCAATTTATATATAAGTGTCCAAGAATCTATTATTATTTAAACTTCAATGACATGAGGTTTGTGTACACCTTTAACGAAACCGTCCTGGTCTTCATTTGATAATTCTTCTAGTGTTGAACCCTTTGTTTCAGGTACACAGAAGAATGTGGCTACAAGGCCGCTAAACATAAAGCCAGCAAATATTAGGAATAAATATTTAACGAATGCATTTGAACCAGCAGCACCACCAATATCTTTCAATTTAGAAAATCCAACAGAAGAAATAATAGCACCCAATTTTCCAGAAGCAGCACTCAATCCGTGTCCAGTTGAACGGTATCGAGTTGGGAATATTTCACCTGGCACGACGAATGTAGTGGTATTGGGACCAAAGTTGAAGAAAAACTGAGAAACAAAAATTATTAATAAAAAATTAAAAGATTTTTTTTTTTAAAAAAAAAATTTCAATATAACATACTTGAGCTAAGGTGAATAAAACGATGAAAAAATCAACGGAAACTTGCAAAATTTGGTCAAAAGCAGAACCGATAACAACGAATAGAATAGTAAGGACTGTAAAACCCAAAAGTTGAATAGGACGTCGACCCCAAGAATCGATAGTAAAAACGGTTACCCAGTAACCAGGTACGGAGCCCAGCAATGCAATGATAATATTACCAACAGAGGCTTTAAATAGCGTCTCATAAGGATCAGTGCCATTACCCAAAAATCCAATTTTGCTCAAAATAATATTGTTGTTTAGACCGATACCATAAAAGGCTACATCCAATACAAACCATGTGAAACAAGTGCCAAATAAAACTTTTCCGTTTTTCCATTGACCAAAATAATGGAAGAAATCGGAGACGGTGGCTTTCTGTGCATCAACTTTAACAATGATATCTTGTTCATGATCTTTGTAAGTACCTGTTGTTAATACATCATTAATGTCAGCAGCAGCCCGATCAACATTAAGTTCTATATCCATAGTGAAACGAGGTGTTTCTGGTATAGTAAGTCGGTAATAAAGGGCGACACAACCAGGAATTGCACCTACTCCTGTGACAATTCTCCATATATAATCAATATTGGAAAAATCGGACGGAGAAATGGAACTCTGGAAACAAGCTACAACGATAGTTGAAACTATGGCAGCAGTTAAGATTCCAATACCTTGCATGGCAAATACGGCAGCCATCATAGCACCTCTCCTTTTTTTTGTAGCAAATTCACTAGTGATGACTTTTAAAAAAATGTACGGTTACATTATATGACAAGA